ATTTATCAATATTATTTATTTCGTTTCTCTCTCTCCTGTGAAGAATTATTGAACGTTTTGTTTTTTATTATGTTATTTTAATTTAATAGGATTTCTGTTTTCTTTTGTTTTTTTTTCAACGATATGTTAATTATCATAATTTTGTATTTTGTGTTATTTTTTAATGAATTTTTTCAGAAGCAACAGAAAAGAAAARAAAACAATGACGATGAATTATCCCAGACTTCTTGTTCATTCTTTCTTTGTAAGCCACTGTTCATATCCGTGTTCTGGGGACAATTAAATCACGCGAAGAATGAAATTATAATTCGCAAGTTATCATATTATAATCTCGTTAGTATTTTTCTTATCGCAAAATGTGTATGAATAATGTATCAGTATAATTAATTGGATCGATAATTTGTATAAATAAATGTTCAAATATTTACCCATATTTTTATTATCGATGTAAATAATCATTTGTCAAGTTAATATATTTGATTAATCGGTAAATACTAAAAAAATATGATTATAAATATTGATTAAAAATATTACTAAATATTGAATCAATAAATATTAACCAGTGCTGTATATCAAAGCGTGTTACATTGAAACACGTGATACTTCCGGTTATCGCCTGCATGGATTTTATAACAAGGCCGGAACGAGGCATGCATTTCATCGAGAACACCATAAATTATCAAATACCGTAAGAGAAAGATAAAGTGAAAAATAAAGAAAGATATGAGGAGAGAGAATGCCGCGAAACTTGGCTTCAAGCTTCTTCTCTTCGATTCCCATTCGGTTTCCCATTCGTCTGTTCCTCTACTTCTTACTGTGAATTTATTATCTCTAAACGCACTTCGAATCGAATAGAATTATGCGTCCAACGTGGTTGATATAAGACACACGAGCTCGAGTTAGTATACTTGTAAAAAGATAAAAAACAAAAAACCACTGAACACACACACACATCCAAAGACATATAGGTACGTATACAATACAGACCAAAAGTTTGTAAAATGGCAACGTAAATCATTGGAATTGGACAACAACCAAAATGACCGATAATGTCTAAAAAACTAGTTCAACCAATTAATATTAAATTTTGTCTATCTATTAAATTATAATGAATAATCGTTAAATACTTAGACAAAAATTATCCAAACTTTTTGTCGTTAGTGTATGTTAAAATACATTCCATGGTTTGATAAAAAAGTTAGAAGAGATGGAATACACGTACACTTATTAACCATTTTATATATATATATTGTAGGAACATATGTTAAGATAGGTACCATGGGTTCCCGTAAATGCAAGTACGCAGCTATTATCGAGAAGCATAGCCGTATACGGTAGAGGGCGATTATCGCGATGAGGTGGCGGCGATGGTGCCTCGACCACGGCGGCCACGGTGGTGCCGACGAGTTAAGAAATAAATCAGGGCAACAGTTTGGCATTAATTGAGCTGCATTGTATAACAGCGAGCGGCGCGGTGAAATACGCCGCTGCATCGATTTACGATAGATAAAACGTACTTTATGGGGATGTTTCCGAGGGCCAGCCAAGTTGTTTACAACTCTTCTTCTTCTTCTTCTTCTCCTCCTCCACCTCCACCTCCTCCACCACCACTTGTTTGCCACACTGCACTTCGAGAACTGCCTAGCATCCGAGAAAGAAAAACCGAGTGTGAGAGAAGATTAAAAGGAACACGAGGATGTGAAGAAGGGAGGAGGAACAGTTGAATACGCAAAGAGGATATTTTACCTACACGTAACTATGTTTAGATGTGTATATGCATTGATACCTTTCTCTAGAAAGCATTTTTTTTTTTTCTTTAAACATACCTTTTACTAGTTGCCATAACTCTATATTATGTTAGGAACTTCTTCTTCTTCTTCTTCTTCTTTTCTTTGTACTCGTTATAATATTACAATGGTGTACCTTTGAAAGATTATTTTTATTACTTATAAGCTTTTTATTTTTTATAGAATTTTATTGTATTTCTTTTTTTTATGTTTAGTGTTAAATCTATTAATTAGAATTATCGTAATTTTTTGTCAATAATTGCAACGTTATTTTTATTTAAATATACAAATACCCCTACAATTCCAACATTAGTTGGAAATTATACATATGTTATTATTATTATTATTATTATTATTAATTATTTTTCATTGGCATTAGGAGCTCGAAAGTTCATTACTAGACATATACTATATATATATCAACTACTATAATAATAATATATTTATATAACATTCTATTTAAAATAGTCATTATCAATTAAAAAATTGATCTTTTCCGAAATATTGGAAATATAAAATGAAATAATTTCCTAAAAATATCTCGAAAGGAAATCAGTGAAATGGGGTTGGTAGAATACACACGTATATAAACATATATACATTTATAGATGTATATACCCTACTTCAACGAATACATGGAAAATCAGGTACGTACTTACATACATAGACGTGCACTTAATGATCCGTTTCGCGAATCCTTGGCGCCCTTCCTTCTCCTTCTTCACCTTCTACCCCCTCTCCCTCTTTCTCCTCTTCCTTCGTCACCGCCCTCGCTTTACCAACGTGCGCCCCGAGTCATATATCAAACGGCTAATTAATGCCGCGCGTAATTACCGCCTATCATAATGCGAGCGAGGCCGTTCGAGGTGCCTCAACGTTCTCGCTGGACTCTTTTGCGTTTTAAACTTCTCTCTTACTCTAATTTTATCTCTTTCTTTCACATACATACTCTCTTTCTTTCACACACACACACACACACACACATACTTTCTTGTTACACAGTTTTGTTTTTCTATTTTTTTTTTTTTAATCTTTTTTTTTCTTTTTCTTTCTTTTTTTCATTTTCTACCACTCACGCATCTTTTTCAAAGTGATCCTTCTTTAGCCGAACACTTGGGATAATTTCCAGGCCATCCAAGATGGCTCGTAAAGAGGCGCGACTTACGACGTTAGTCCACCGTCGTCGTTACGCTTGACTTTATTTTTTTCTTCTTTCTTTTTTTTTTATTTTTCCTTTTTCTATTTCTTTCTCTTTCTTTTCTTGAAGAAGAAGAAGAAGAAGAAGAAGAAGAAGAAGAAGAAGAAGAAGAAGAAGAGGAAGAAGAAGCTGCGGGTAGTAGAAGTACACTCTCTTTCTCTCTCTCTCTCTCTCTCTCTCTCTCTCTCACTAACTCTCCTTTTATCCTTTCGACTCGAAGGAGCCGACGAAGGAGAAATTTTCTCCAGACGCCTTATCGCACACCGAATTAAGGTCGAAGGACGTTCACGTCGTCTTATCCTTCCTTACGTTCTCTTTCTCTCTCTCTCTCTCTCTCTTTTTCTTTCTTTCTCTATTATTTTTCTCATTCTTTTCTTTCCTCTTTCTTCTTTTAATGTGGATTTTCTTTTTTTAACTTTTCTATTTTCTTTTTTCTTTTTTTTTTTTTTTGTATCAAACCATCGTATTACGGTTTGATAACAATGCTTGTTAACCTCAAACTTCGATAGGCATCCATATTTTTTAACGAGAATAACTTTATTGGATCTTTTATGATAATAAACTGTTATATATGAACTACTATTATGCATATATGCACATAGAATTCTTTTAAGTTCTTAATTTATAATAGTTTCAATATTTTTGATGAAATTATTATTCAAATAAATTAAATTTAGAATACTCGTAAACGTAAATTACGTGGTCTATCGTGACCATAATCATTAAATATATTATTTAATTATTACTCTCGTTATAATTATTTGATTCTCCAAAATTTGAACGAGTTGTTATTACCACATTGGATGTAAAAATCATTGCAAAATTAATTTCAAATTGATAGAATATTCAATTAATAATATGTACATTGTAAGAACAATTAGATGCAGTTAATTGTCAAAAAAAAAAAAATGTAATAAAAATTATTCTAACTCTATATCTTATTTTCTCATGCTTTCCCTCCTACCCCCTTTTTCATAAAACTGTTTCTTTCAATAGAAAAAAAAAAAACCTATAATATTAAAATATGAATAAACGATTTTCAACAAGAGGGTAAGTTGAAAAGTTTCGAGCTTTGATAAAAAAAAAAACAAACATCTTTCCATTTCTTTCCGAATAAAAATATATTTGACAAAAATAAGAGAAAGAAAAAGAAAATAATTCTACTTAACCTCAAAACCTTTAACTTACATGCTTAAATTATAAAAAACATATTTATAAAAATAATCCAATCATCAATGATAAAAAAAAAAAACAGAAAAAGAAATCAAGTCATAAAAACCATTTGAAATTCTTCCTCGAACGTAGAGAAAAAAAATAAAAGAAACAAAAGATAGGGGGTGATCGGGGAAAAGGGTTGGAGAAAAAATGGTAGATACCTAAGGACGAATGTAAACGATCAGGAAAGATCGTTTTCTTCTTTGGATTTTCCTATTTGAGAATTCACAGAAGCGTAGAGAAAAGGCGCGTAACATCCGCGTCCATTCGTGGTTCACCAAACGTACGAACGTAACCGATAAAAGCTCGCATTGCTAGATCGTCTTTGCAACGTTTCCGTGTTCCGAGTCGATCGCGTTCGATAATCTTCCAACGTACATACGAACTGCAATCTTCTTCTTCCTCCTCCTCCACCTCCTCCACCACCCCCTCTTTCTCTTTCTCCTTCAACTCTTCCTCCACCTTCTCTTTCAACATCGACAGCACCTCCATTTTCCTTTATCCTTTGTCTTTATACATTTTTTTTTTTTTATTTTATTTCCTTTTTTTCTTTTATTCTTTCTTCTTTGCAAGTTGATGCGAAACACGCACGTGCGTTTTCCCCTGCACGTGTCCGTTTCTTTCTTTCTCGATATTTCTCGATATTTCTCGATCTTGGTGTTTTCCTCTCTCTCTCTCTCTCTCTCTTTTTCTACTTGAAAGTGCAACAATCGAGACACAGTTTACGTCGGCACCGTCGAGACTCGTTTACGATGCCGTATAGAGAGAATTGCTAGTAACACGCCGACGCTCCTCTATTGCTTTGTATAACGTCAATGTATCGCACCAACACTTTCATCTTTACATATGGATTTGTATGTTTATATATGTGTATTGTATTTGTGTCACATGTATGCTCATCTAATCGAGCATATCCAGATATATTCTGTTCTATGTATTCTAATGTTTGTCTCTCTCTCACTTTCTCTCTCTTACTTCGATTTTCTTTACTTTGATGCAAGTGTATCAAGGTGTAGAAAGAGAGTAAATTAAGACAAACTTGATTTGTGAAAATTTAATAAAGATTTTTCTATGATTTTTTTAAATAAATTCATTTATTAAAATCTGATATAAAATTAATTTATGTGGATGAATTAAAAATTCTTAAGCCTATTTTAGAAACAAATTTTTATTATTTATAAAAAGATATGCCTTTTTTTGTTAAAGTTGCTCAAAACATTTCAACTTAGTCGTGTAATTATATTTTGAAATTAATATATCTACTAAATTATTATTGGGTTGGCAAGAAAGTAATTTCGATAGTAAGTAAATAATAAGTAAGTAAATATATATATATTATTATTATTATTATTATTATTATTATTATATTATAAAATAATATAAGTATTTTTATATATATAAATATATAAAATTATTAGGTTGGCAAGAAAGTGATATTTCACATTAGAAAACCGAAATTACTTTCTTGCCAACCCAATATATACTTAATTAAATAAATCATCTAATCTCGTATATAATTATAATTAACAAATACTAATATATATTAGAAAGAGAAGGTAAAAGAGAGAGAGAGAGAAATTAAACGATTAAATTTAAAGATAAAAAATGTATTATCAAGCTGATAATATATTTTTTATATTTTTAAATGATTTTAATCGTTTGAAAGTATTTTAATATACTACCAATCATTTATTTATCATTTACGTCAACATATACTAATTAAACATTAATAGATGAAAAAGAAACACGTTTGATCCTATCGATTGTTTATATTCTAATACGTTTTCGACATTGAAAAAATAATTCGAGAGATAACGAGGAAAAAATGAAATCTTATAGATAACCTTCGAGGTTTTTCTATATTTGCTTTTTTAACACGTCAACGTTATTATTAATGATGATTACTTCAAATTCACGCATGCATATCTATGTATGTGTGTGTGTGTGTTTTTTCATAGAACAATCAACTTAGATGATTAGTTAATAGTACGTATAAAACTAAATTTTAATATTTAAAAATAAAATAAAATAATTGAACCATATTTAATACAAATAAGTATTTATTTATTATGTATTTATAGGTATATTTATTTTTATATTTAATATTATATTATATATAAATATATAATGTATATTAATATTTAATATATATTTAATATATTAATATTTATATTATAAATATAAATTTTATTTATTTTTTTTATTTGAAATTTAAATATAACTTGAACACTAAAAATATTTCTCATCGAAACAAGTAAATGGTCATCGTTAAAAAGAAAAAAAAGAAAAAAATCTTTCCAAATCGATTACGATGTAATACTATTTAATATTATTTAATAAATTTAATAATATAAGAGAATAAATAACAATGGCGGGAATTGGTATTTGCGGCAATGAACTTTCGAGTTCCTAACGCCAATTAATAATAATATATAATAATAATAATAATAATAAGAGAATAAATAAATTAAAAATTTTAATAATAATTCTATATTAAATTAATAATTAATTTTACTTCTATTTATAGACTTCATTGTTATTGTCACCAAAGTAATGTTAATATTATTGCTTGGTGAAAAAAAATAGATAAAAAAAAAAAAAGAATAAAAAATGTAAAAAGTCTTTACAAATGGACATTTTATTCTGAAACGCTTAGTAACTCGATAAACGAAGTATAACGTTTACTTCGAAATTCGTTTTACTTCTCTTCTTACTATCCACCCTATTTTCAACTTTCACCCACTCTTAACCCATACTCCTTTAGGTTTCGTTATCCCAGTAGCAGGTTAGCCTAGCATCAGGGCTACCGGTGCAAATAAAGTGCTAGTAATGCGAAAGAGTAACCCTTTTAAAGAAGTTACCACGAACGTTTTCTTCCTTCTATTTCTTCTTCTTCTTCTTCTTCTTCTTTTCTTTTAATTTTCGTCTTATTTTCTTCTTTCTTCATCTTGCTTTATTTTTTTAGGTTTTAATTTTTTTGTCTTTCTTTTTTTTTTATTGTATTTAACCTCCACCAGTAGAATTATTTCGTAAGTAGTCTACGGACTTCTAGATTCACACAAATACCATTACGCTCAAGGGAAATACGCTGTAAAGTTCGCGAGCCGGGGTAATTCCGATAAAAAAGTTCAATCGACTAATAACTTCCGGCTTTGTCTAATCGCGGCATTTAATCGGATAAAAGGCTCCAAGCGATCTCTTCTCTCTCTCTCTCTCTCTTTCTTTCTCTCTCTCTCTCTTTTCCTTTATCATTCTCTTTCTCTCTTTCTTTATTTTTCTTTCTTTCTTTCTTTCTTTCGCATTTGGGAACTGAAAAATCTCGGAGACCGAGTCCAAGTAAAAAGGGAAAGATTTTCCAAAGGATTCTTTCTTTTTTCTTTTTTTTTTTTTTACCTAAATAAAAGGATATTAAAAGAAAGAGAATTATTCTAAGGCAAAAAAACTGATTGACCTAATTTTTCTTCTATTATTTCTATTTTGTTAAATAACATTCATAAAGATTATGTGATTTATTATATATTTATAATAAAAAGAAAAGAGATGTACATTAATTTATGGAAAATATGTACTGATAAATATTTTGTATATATTAGTTTATTTTTATTTTCATCCCTTTTATGAGTTTAAGTATTTTTCTTTACAAACACTTTATCATACCTATTCCAGTACTACTAAAAAGAAGTCGTATTTTTTTTACCGTTTCTCTGAAATTAACAGTGCAAGGTTTGTGTTCTTTTTTTCGAACAACTCACCCATCCATGTTAATAAACCGTTGCTTGATTTTAATGATCCAATATGGTTATAGACCGTTGACTTATGTTACATACGTTATAATAATAACTGACTGTATATATAATTGTAGTGTTTAATATTCTAACTATTAATTACCATAAATGTTAATGTGTTTTGAAGAGACGTTTCATATAATGAAGAACACCAAAAATTATATTTTATATACTTTAAATGTTTAAGCTGTTGTAAGGTCATTTATCACTTATATATGTATACTGATAATATTCAAAAATAAATAACCTTTTTCAAACAAACATACGTTATAATAAAAAATTGGTAGAAATTTTCTGGGCAACCAAATATTATGAATTTGTACAAATCTATCCAATATTGGGTTGACAACTTAATAATTACGGATTACACTAATCATTTTCCTTGAAAAATCTGTAATTACTTAGTTATCAACCTAATATATATAATATCGATCGATTTAAACAATATAACTCTTAATTCAAAATTTATTTAAAAAATTATTGTTAATACAATAAATAAAAATTTCATTGTAATTCTAATTATTCGTCTAAACAACGATTATCGATTTCTATCAAAATTTTCCGAATATATTTTCTATAATTTACTATAGTGGTACAAGACACGATTGCATACACAAATACATCCGTATTACATACATAAACGAATACATATACGTATACTTATGTAGATACGTGACGTAGTGACATTAAGGTCTTTTTGAACGCACGGCATAAGGTAATAACAAAGCAGCATTACCTCGATCGTGCCATAATCTCTCTCGAATAAAACCACCTGACGACTAGGACGACGACGACGACGACGACGACGATGACGACTAGGACTAAAACTTGAACAAGGACTATAGTGAACATTTCTATTGGTGTTCTGTTAGTAGTGGTTTAGGTTTAGCTTAACGTTTGTCACTACTTAATTCTTCTTCGTGTTAGGAAATAAAGTACTTGGGTAGGTGTAGACGATATCGAACCTCTATCCGTGAGCAAGCGTGCGTGTGTAGATGCGTATCTTCGATATACGTACGAACTACACGAACGATAGATCTGTTCAACTTTACCTTAACATTATGCACTCGTGTAAGAGTCACGGATCTGCTCGTGTCTCTTTTCTTTAGATTTAACCCTTTGATCCTTATATATTCTAATAATACTAATCACAATAATAATGATAAATATTCAGCAATAGAAAGAAATTGAGAATATTTTGTAATAATAATATAAATTTGAAATGTGTTGCATTTGGAATTTTAGTTGCACAAGGATTTTACGAATTGACGTTTAAATATATTATCGTATTTGATACATTTCATTTAATTATTAATTAATATCAAAGCTAAAAATTTGTATTAATATTTTAAATAATATAAAAAGCAACACACAAAAATATGGACAAATCAAAAACTGATTATTTTTCAAAAAAAAAAAAAAAATATCTTTACACTCGTAAGAGTATCGTCAATCGTAAAAGTTCGAAGATCATTGGTTAGATAATTGAAATAATGATGTACGTTTAAATTGTTGTTAGGCAAGTACTATAATTTCATTTTTAGCACATAAATTTCGTTGATCATATTTATCGATATCTAATCTTAATTAAAACTTCAAAATTATTTTGAATTCTAATAACAAACACTTCAGACATGATTTAGAATCATCCTACGTTTTAATCAATCAAATAATTCTTTTTTCACATCACATAATAATATGTGATAATTTTAATTTAGACTTACCAAGAATCTTCTTATTATATATTATAATATATAACAATGAAAAAATATTAAATAAGTTTTTAAAACAAATGTAATAATAAAAGTTTGAAGATAAATTCCGTTGGTTTCTCTGTTCCGCACGAATTCCGAACGAACACTGACACTGAATCAAAACACACAATGTTAGTATCTATCCGATTGACTTTCAACTAAAAGTGTTTATACACGTACGTTGATAAAGAAAAAGAAATAAAACAATCTGCGTGTTGTTTACACTTTACGTAACAACATATAATAGATAATCTAGTTATGTATGTTTAAAAAGGTTATGTTTTATACGTAAAATTTAAACTACGGACAGTCCATTAAAAGACACGAAGTCGAATTGATCACAAAACTACTTATTTCTTTTTTTAATTTTGTCACAATTTTTTGTAAATATCATTTCCATCACTTTTTCTCCCATATCGTGCGTAAGTTTTTATTACCTCGATCTGTCTTATTATTTGTGAATTGTATTTATGATTATAAACGAGGTGTTGCACATAGAAAAAAGAAAAAACATTAATGAAATTCTTCCAAGTGTAATGTAATTTATGGAGATATATTTTTAAATCTTTTTACGATTCCAGTTTATTCATCAGCAATATGCACTTCTCATATTATTTGACCTTCGATAAAAACTTTCTCTTTCTTTTCCTTTTTCAATACGAAAAATCATTCATCGCATTATACACTCGATTAATATTTCAAATACGAATCGCGAGAAATTCAATATATTTAAATATTCAATATGTCAAATAATTTATACAAATATTTATCAAATAAATATAATATCGTGTCGAATATTGATATTTAATCTGTTAAATATTTTTTAATCAAATATTTCACGTATTAAACATTTATCATAATATCATTAAATGGCAGCAGTTATTATTGGTCTTTGCTACGTGTGTAATAATTTTGTTCAATAGGTTCGATACGTTTTCATTGATTTATTTTTATAAATATTAATAAGTTGAAAATGTTATGTTTTATTTGTGATATTTACAAACATAACCAGATCTGGCGAATCGCGAGTGAATCTAATTAAAGATACATATGAGAATCGTAAACCTTGGGATGTTACTCATGACTGAATTTAAGTTACTAGAAAAAAATTGTATTTAAAATATGTGTCTGCACGATTGCGTTAAACGCGACGAGCATGTGATAAATAATCATTTTATTCATCAATAAATAGCGATAAAGTCCCTCATGATAAATTTCAGGGTATTTCCCGGCATGAAGTATTTTTCCATTCAAGAATAAAGATAGTGGGTATAAATAAGGAGGAAATAATAAGTTGGACAAGTAGTCTCTTACTAAAAGCCACAATGAAAGGATCATTGTTTTACTTGGTTGCCGTCTTGGCGACTATTTTCTTCGACACTTCTTCAGCAGAAGTTTGTAATGAGCGACAAGATAAACCAAGATTTTATACGTGTCAAGGTGTTACGAATTTAGCACAAGTATGTATTACTTTTTCTATTAAAAGTTATTAAAACGTTTGCATGGTAACACAATTTTTATATTAAGAAATATTTCATTTAAAAGCTTATTTATGATAGGTTTTAGTGGTAATAAAATAATAACTAAACACTCACATCAACAGAATTTGATCTCTTCAACATATAATGACATAATTAAACACTCATCATTTTGGGTTATCGGAATTAATATAAAATAATTTCTAACACAAGTTAACACCCCTATTTGTATACCAAATATTAATACAATAACAAAATATATAATTTTTTTTAATTAAATCATATCATTTTGTCTAATACTGAATCGTTCATTTGTAAATAAAATTAAAACTGATAAAATACTTTGGATTTCTTTATCTCTTCCTTCTATTTCTTCTTGTTAAATTTAATCTCATTTAATGATGAACGATCTTAACTGTCCGTAAATCAGTTGGACTCGTTACCGGACTCTGTAGTTGGACTTAGATTAGAGAAGTCTACCATCAGCAGAATACCAGCCGACGCTTTCTCAAGATTCGCTGCTAGTCTGATAGAATTGAGGATCACCGGATGTTCCTTGGAAAGTATAGAAGCCCATGCATTCAGAAGGCTCGATAAACTAGAGACGCTCGACTTGTCGAACAATCGGATCCAAGCAATCGAGGCTTCCTGGGTACGGGGATTGTTCAACTTGAAGGAATTGATCGTTTTGAGAAATCGAATTGCTAGAATTGAACCGGAGTTTTACGAGTTACTACCGAAACTTGAAACACTTGATGTTGCTTACAACGAATTAGTCGAGTGTATAACGAAAGACAATTTCAAGAAATTGAAAAATTTAAAATTGGTATTGATAGCGAGTAATCCATGGTCTTATCGTTGCCGATCAGACATGACGTATGCTTTTAAAACAAATCACGTTAATTTTATCAAAGATTGGTCAATTGGTGATCTTTTGATAGAAGAGTGTTTAGCTCATGAACAAGGAGCTGATTCAGATGATGTTATTTTAAAACACTGCGTTGATAGAAAATCATTTGAATCTATCACTCCTATATTACCTGATTTGGAAAAGAAAGTATTAGAATTGTCTAACAAGGTCGAAGAATTGCGTAACGAGGTGAATAATATTAGAAAACGTTCATAACAAGGAAACTTTTTCTTATCTTTATAGACCTTAAATACTCTTCACTAATAAAAACCCAGCTATATTACATAATACTTATACGAGGTTACATTAAAAATTATCCGCACTATGCCTGTGGTTATATTCTCAATGTATCAAGCCACCTATATAAATACAATTTAATTAATAAATAATAAATACAAATTTTATAATTTTTAAATATATATAATACTATTAACTAAATATCATTTCTATATACATGCATATTACTTGTATACTTAAAACGGGACGTATCCAATGAAATAATAATATGATAAACACTTAAATACGATCGCGAATGCATAAAAATATTATAAAAATTTGTTGTTTCGTAATCATAATCGGTGTTTCAAATACATATCTTTCATTAGTGACATTTAACTATTCTTATTGTTAATTGTTGCAATAGTTATTCTTTAAAGATAGACAGACCCAGTAGCTTCTAAGTGAGGCAGGCACGCGTTCGCAGAAACGTTAAATCATAGTTCGTCTGAAAGCTGATCCACGATCTCTTCTCGGTCGAGGTTGGTTATATCCTCGCAAAGCGGGACAAGAACATCCCGGCTGCGGTTAACCGCCATTCATCACGAGGAGGTGGAGGGCTGGTTAAAAAATGCGTATCGTACACGCGGGATAGATCACGCTCGCAAACCCGTGAGATCTTTGACGCGGTTTCCGCGGTCATTAATAATGCTGCTCGAGGCGGCGAGGTGAATGAATAAAAAAAAAGAAAAAGAAAAGGAAAAGAAAAAGAATTGGAAAGGAAAAAAAAAATCATTATTTTTTGGTATCACTATACCAAACGAAACGAAAGATAGAAGGAGAGTACGTGTATGAGAGAGAGAGAGAGAGAGAGAGAGAGAAAATGGAAAAGAGAAGATATATATCTCTTTGCGAAATGTATGTTTGTGTATTAGTGTATGTGTGTTTGTGAGAGAGAAAGAAAGGCTAAAAGTGGACAGCAAAAGATAGGAGGAACGCCGTATTTGCTGCCGATATGTCGTCCTAAGAGTAATGTTGCTATCGTCTCCTCGTTATAGTCACTTCTTGGCAGGTTAAAGAACGATTTAGAAGAAAAACGTTATTCCATCTCTTTCTCTCTCTTTCTCTCTCTCTCTCTCTCTCTCTCTCTCTCTCGTTACGCTTGATCAAATAAATTTAACCTAAAGTAAATAGTAGATATTTTTTTTTTTGAATTGTTTCTTTCTTTTTTCTTTTTCCTTATACACTCGTACGTTGATTCATTCAAATATTATCTTAACGTAATAGGATTAGACTCAGAATAATAGGTATAACTGAAATTATATAAATTTATATGAGATTATAGTGAGGATCATTGAAAAAGAAAAATCAAAAAAAAAAGAAAAAGAAAAGATAAATAATGATAATAATTCAATTAATTGTTTTTCGCGTCCACAAAATAAAATATATACAAAACTTTGTATCATAGGGAAGTTGAACAGGTAAAAAAATAATAATATTACAATACAATATTTATTATTATTTCTAATTAATTCTATATGCTCATTTATTGTATTTACAAAAAAAAAAGATTATAATAATAATTATTAATTTAGAATAATAAAATTATTGATCTACCAATAATTGCACAATGTTACAACCATACAATCAGTGAATAATTAAATTTCGTAATACTAAAAATATTTGAGTAAGCAATAGACGATAAAGAAGATGGTACATACTAACGGTACCTATATATATATATATATATATATATATATATATATATATAACATAAGAAAATAAGAGATTTTCATGGACCGTTCTCAGATACCGTAACGCGTATAGAATCTTAGTAGTAAGATTAAAGCAGAAGACGAGAGGTTCTTAAGATCGACATCAATGGAGTGACATCGTTGAGATAGAGAGTTTATATACAATATAATATATATATGTATATATATATATACATATGTACACTATCTCTTTCTATCTTTGAAGAGATATTGTTCGAGGAAAAGCATTGCCAGTGATTTATAGAGAGAAGGACGTCCTGCATCCAGAGCAGCAGCTCCTGGATATCACGTCATCCTTGTTGTCTTCGTCTTCGGTACGGTTAGATGCGGTGCTGTGCGGTACGATACGCTACGAAACGTTCACCGTATGCGGGAGTGCTCTAGTTCCCACGCGATTCTGAGTTATACACTGGCTATACTAAAACAGACTGAGAAACACACTAAGAGTGAAAGAGAAAGAGAGAGAAAGACAGAGAGAGAGAGAGAGAGGGAGAGATAGCAAGTGTGCATCTATCTATTTTTCTCTCTCTTTTTCTCTATTCATCTATCCTTCTTTTTCTTTCTTTATCTCTCATTATACGTTTTTGACTCTCTCTTATTTACTTTATCTTTCCCTGTTTTTCTTTGTCTCATGTTAGTACAGTATCGTTTTTCTTTTTCTAATATTTATTTGCATATGTTCTACTCTCTTTTTCTTTCACTACATCTGTTTCTCTTTATTTAGGTGTTTCAATCTCTTTCTCTCTCTTTCTCATACTGTTTTATTCTTGATCTATCTCTCTCTATTAAGCTATTTGTATTTCTCTCTATCTATATATCTCTGTCTGTTTCTGTATTCCTGCATTCGTGCCTCTCTCTCTTTCTCTCTCTCTCTCTCTCTCTCTCTCTCTCTCTCTCTCTCTTACCCGTTGGTTCGCGCCTTCCGTGAGACAGAACGCGCCGAGTATTTATGCGGACCGTGTGTATGCATCCAGAATACGCATCCGGTGCGAGCTTGCAACCGGGTTACCTTCGCTTTGGCGCGAACAAGCCACGCGTCTAAGTGAAATTTGTCGAATCAAAATCATGTAATTGTAATTGTTTTATACGAATTTTTGTTTTCTAAACCCATTTTAGTTTCATATTTTTTTTTTTTCATTCGTAAATCTATTTATCATAAATTAAAATCGTTTATAATTTGCAAATTTCTCGTAAATATTTTTCAATTTATAAACAACTACGTTTGCAACGATTTGTTGTAAAATTTTTGAAGATAAGAAATTTTTCGTTTAAATTTAATTAATTTTTTTTATTAATTTTCAATATTACAATTATTTATTATATTTTCAGTTGAGAAAGTTTATGTTCGTAAAGTATATACATATGTATATATAAAGTATAATTTTATTCACGTATGCATAATACGCATTTATTATTAATAATATAAATTAATTATTTATTCCTTAGTTAGGTAAAATTATTCATTTATATAATACGTTACATTCATTGTTAATAATATCAATTAATTAATTATTAATTCTTAATAAAAATTAAACATTTATGGTAATAGTCATCGAATTTATTAAATATATATTATAACCCACAAATTTCACACCACTAATGTAAATCTTGTTTCACTTTATCAAAATGATCGAATAAAATATTAAATAAAATTAATATATATATATCACACATACAAAGAAACGTTCACATATATTTCTATTAAAAAGAAAATAAAAATGAAAAAAAAAAATATTCTCTCGATAGCAATTTTTCATAAACGAAAGAACTAGTCTCGGATTACCACTAGACATAATAGTTACAAGACTTTTCTATTATTTCTACAGTTGTATGATATGAACATTTAACGAACGGTGACGTTCGTTTCGCCTGACCGATCGTTCATGATTACTGCAACTGCAAATACGAAAAGGGTTGTATCAAAGAGAGAGAGAAAAAGAGAGAGAAAGAGAATCGGAAGAATTATTGTAACCGCGTAATAACCGAAAACGCGAGAATGATGATCCTGGGATACCAGAGGCAATGATCGAAACTCCGACAATGTATGGATATTTTCTCTTTCTCTCTTTCTCTCTCTCTCTCTCTCTCTCTCTCTCTTTCATTTTGTTTCTTTTTTTTTTAACATTCACACAATAGCGGAAATCGAAGACCACCACGTTCGTTTCCAACCAATCCGTGGAAACATATATATATATATTTTTTTTTCTTTCATTCTTTGTTACTTTTTTCTCTCCATATTTTTGTTAACCGAGATGGATATACATAGATAGATAATACATACGTACAGAAATAGAAAGAAAGAAAGAAGAAAAGAGAAAGAGAGAGAGAGAGATAAATCCGCGCCTCGATGCACCGGACAAAAATGTCAAATCAAGCTGCGCGCAGTAGAGAATGCGAGGAGCGAAATCAAGAAAAACGTAAAAAGAACCTAAAAAGATAGAAAGAGAAAGACAGAAAGAAAGAGAAAGAGAGATACGTCATCGATACCCGACGGCTTACCTGCTTGCTACGAGACAGACAGAGAAGAATAAAGATAGAAAAATAAAGAGAAAAAGAGAGAGAGGGAGAGAGAGAAATAATAAGAGAAGAAGAGCTACTATCCCTTTTGTTCGACAAAAAACTGTGCCTAAGATGAAAAGACACGAAGTGAGCCTTGCGGCCGGCTGGAGTCCCGCCAAATAATATACCGCCCCTTCTACGAAATTCAACCCTCCGAGTATCCACCGTCCTCTTCCTCATCCTCTTCCTCTAGCACGAAGCCCACAGTTCCACCCCTTTCCTCCCCTGTTCGCGTAACTCTTGACAAGGCAGCCACCGGCACGCTCGTGGATGAACGAACGTTCGACTCGCCGGGGGTACTTTTATATTTATTACGAAGCCACCGGGAGATTGAGAAGGATGGATGAAGGGTGGTGGTTATAAGGGGGTGAAGGGAATGGAAAGGTAGGAGAGGGGTAACTGAGGAGAACACGTTTCTGGCCGTTAGGCTAGGATGTGTTGTACACGGAAGACGGATGATCCAACCTATATTTTTTCCGCCTTTTGTCATCCTGCACAAGCCTTTTTATCCAAACGGGAAAAGCCCGAGTAAGAGAGAGAGAGAGAGAGAGAGAGAAATAGAAAGCTGGTAGGTATATTTTGTTCTCTCTTGTATTTATATGCATACGTGAGACATGACTCTAGCTATTATCGCACTGCAAAATAGAACTTTTATCATGAATATGTATGCATTTTCCTCCTGTCGAATAAATACTCTGGACACTATCTCTATTTCTTTTTATCTGTTCCATTCTCTTTTCTTTATTTTCTTCTTCGTCTATTACTTTTTTTTTTTTTTTTACTATTCTTCGAAACTATTTATATTATTCGGTACGTGGGTTTCTTAAGTTTAACACGTTAAATATGTGTGTTGTGTTTATATATCATTATCTCTATTTTCCTTCTTTTTTTTTTTTTTTTTAAACATGTTAAATAACATCTATAGCTACGCAGTATTATACTTATTCTTGAAATAATGAGATTTCATTGGAAAGGAAAAAAATACTAATAAAAAAGAAACACGAATTATATAAAATTCTTTAGATATTTTTTTTTTTTTTTATGTACGTTCATCGTAT